TTAGAATTTGCCAAGTTTTCCAAAAAATATAAAAATTCTGTTCAGTCTCTGTCCATTCAGGTCTAAAATCTGTAAACCGCAAATCCAAAAATATAGTAAATCCAAAATAAAAATAATTTCATACGGCCCTTTCATGCGTCAGAAACCAGTGGAAAAACAAGTGATAATAAATATTTGGCAACCTTGCTGACGACTGGTAACTTTGTTTACGTAAATGAAAAATTATAATAATGAAATTTAAAAAGAAAAAAATCGTAATAAAAAAGAGAGACAAAGAAAATTCATGAATGTAATTTTTGTTTACGTTTCTGATAGATTCAAAATTATGAGATTTATGATTTTTGTTTTGAAAAAAAATCAATAATTATAAACGAGACAAAGAGATGTCTATTCCAGTTCTGTTTGCCTTTAAAATATATTAAAAGAATGACAAGGTAAGATATAAAGACAAAGGGAAATATATCCGATATATATATATGATAAATAGAAATAAAATTAAATAAACTAAAATTAAAAAACACGTAAATTATTTTTACGTATAAGATGAAAATAGAAGAATAAATAAGATCATAAAGATAGCGTGATAAAAGGAGAGAAAAAGGGAGAAAATATGATTTTCGAAAGGATAGTTGAGAAAGAATGGCATGATAAAAGAAGAGACAAAAAGGGGAGACTAAAATAATGAGAGGAAAATCGAGTCCCAAGCCAAATCGGAGCGCTGCATATGGCAAGAGCACTCCTAACGATACCATTTAATAATTAGCACAAAACTGACACCTAAATTTGGGCTGGATGTTGCAGCATGCAATTGCTTTTTCCTCATTGCATCAATAAATTTCCATCTGCCTTTATTCCCTCGTTCATTTGTCTTTTATCTCTGTTTGTAATTGTTCTTGTCCATTCGGTGCACGGTTGCCGGTTAGGCTGTGAAAAAATGGCTTTGACTCTTACTTTTAAAGAAAGGATTGATGCTCATGCTGTGTATGTGTATTTACAATGAATATACGCACATGCACGCACGGACACACACAAAGGCATAGTAACATACTTTGTGTGTGTGTGTGTGTGTGTATGCGTGTATGTGTATGTGTATGTATATGTATATGTGTTTGTGTGTGTATGTGTGCCTATGTGCGTGGGTGGATGGGCGTAGGTGTGGATGTCGACGCGTGCACAGAGACAGACATACAGAAAGAAAGACAGACAAAGCGACAGACAAACGGAAAGAAAGACAGACCAAGCGACAGACAGACAGACGGAGACCGATACAAGAAGACACATCTCATCCAACCCTCCCGAAGCTGGTGGTCCTCAGCCTCCAAGCTTCCTGCTCTTTTGTCATTGTCACTCACTCTCCTCACTCTCCTCACTCTCCTCACTCTCCTCGCTCTCTTCACTCTCCTCACTCTCCTCACTCTCCTCACTCTCCTCACTCTCCTCACTCTCCTCACTCTCTCTCCCCCACTTAGCCGTTTCCTCCAAGCGCTCGTCTTTTGTTTGACTTCGCGTCCTTCCCCTACAGAGGAGCAGCAGCAGGTCCCGTCGCTATTGACTTCCTCCGCATCTGTTTTAGAGGAGGAAGGTACGGGCTGCGGGCGTCCTCCGTTTGGAAGGAGTGGGCTTGCTTGCTTGCTTGCTCGTGGGGAAGGTCCTTGTTTGCTTGTGGGGAAGGTCCTTGTTTGCTCGTGGGGAACGTTCTTGCTTGCTTGTGGAGAAGGGCGTTCTCCGTTTGGAAGGAGTGGGCTTGCTTGCTTGCTTGTGGGGGAAGGGCCTTGCTTGCTTGTGGAGAAGGGCGTTCTCCGTTTGGAAGGAGTGGGCTTGCTTGCTTGCTTGCTTGCTTGCTCGTGGGGAAGGTTCTGCTGCTCGTGGGAAGGGCCTTGCTTGCTTGCGGAGAAGGTCGGCGTCTCCGTTTGGAAGGAGTGGGCTTGCTTGCTTGCTCGTGGGGAAGGTTCTTGCTTGCTCGTGGGGAAGGGCCTTGCTTGCTTGCGGAGAAGGTCGGCGTCCTCCGTTTGGAAGGAGTGGGCTTGCTTGCTTGCTTGCTCGTGGGGAAGGTTCTTGCTTGCTCGTGGGGAAGGGCCTTGCTTGCTTGCGGAGAAGGTCGGCGTCTCCGTTTGAAGGAGTGGGCTTGCTTGCTTGCTTGCTCGTGGGGAAGGTTCTTGCTTGCTCGTGGGGAAGGGCCTTGCTTGCTTGCGGAGAAGGTCGGCGTCCTCCGTTTGGAAGGAGTGGGCTTGCTTGCTTGCTTGCTCGTGGGGAAGGTTCTTGCTTGCTCGTGGGGAGGGCCTTGCTTGCTTGCGGAAGGTCGCGTCCTCCGTTTGGAAGGAGTGGGCTTGCTTGCTTGCTTGCTCGTGGGGAAGGAAGGCCTTGCTTGCTTGTGGAGAAGGTCGGCGTTCTCCGTTTGGAAGGAGTGGGCTTGCTTGCTTGCTTGCTTGCTCGTGGGGAAGGTTCTTGCTTGGTTGCTTGCTCGTGGAGAAGGTCTGACAGGAGGGTAGAGGTAAATGCG